TGTAGAGGTCCTTTACAGAGTTTATGTTGCCTCATCTATTGTGCGGCTCTTTTGTTATTGTTGCTTACAATAGTGTTGCTGTTTCTGTTGTTGTTGCTGTTGCTGTTGGTGCTGCTGCTCGAATATGCAACGTGCAGCAGTTAAGCAATTTAAATATAATATTAATGCATTCACTTGTTAAGATAGAACCCGTTGTTGACGTCTGAAAGGAGTAACTTAAGCAAAGACAATACACGTACACAAGTATGTATATATTTACCTTCCTACAAATAGCATTGTTTGTGTGTCTGGCTCAATCATGAGGACAGCAATAAATTTCACACTGCTACAAAATTGTACTATTTAGCATTTAACTTCTATTCATTTCTTGTTATATAACATTGTCTATTCATATGCTCTTCAGAATGTTCCTCCAATTCTTATTTCTTGTTTCTTCGACAAATTGGATTTGTTTTATTTTCGATATCCGCCTTTATTATACTGTTAATATATTTACAATAACTTAAAGTAAATTCAAAAGGAGCTTAATCCTCTTTTACATTTCATTGGCAAGGTCGAGAGCGTTTGATCCCTTCTCATTATAAATCCTTCTTTTATGCGCCGTCTTAGCAGCTTGCTGATTGAGGACGTCTCCTCTAGAGACGCGTACGGATATTTAGTTGCATAAGAATTCTTGAATCCTTTCGGCCAATTTTTAAGTATTCCCAGTAATTGAGATGTAAAGCTTAAGGTGAGTTTTGGATCAAAAAGTGTCCCAATTGTAAATTGCTTAAGTACAATAGAAAAGTCATAAGAAAATGCTTCAATAACTCCATAAATAAATACAGTAAATACATCGTAAAGAATTACAACAAACACAAATATATTCATTTAAAAAAAGTGCCCAGTTAACGCACACCATACAGTTAATTGAAATAGTCGTAGGTTGATTTTAAATAAAATAGAAAAAAAAAATTAGAGGCTTGGAATAATTGTTATAAAACCAATTGCAGGCCAATATAAAAAAGAGTAAAATAAATAAATAAAATGTGTCGTAAGCCACTGAATCAAAAGAGTCACCGCATTCACTAATTATTTGAAATAAAATATTAAAAAGAAATATTTAAAAAAATAAGAACAGAAACTTCCGCAAAACTACATGTTGCCTTAACCAACAAAACTATAATGACTTTAGTCGAGTTGGCCCTTTGAATTTATACCTTTTTAGATCAGCTAAAAAATTTCGTGCAACGACTACTTGACAAAATCAACCCTGCAGCCAGCATCGAAAATGGTCGATAATAGCATGTTCTAAGGTATCGATAGTTGCACTTGATTTTCAGCTCTTACCGCCGCCTCATATTGAATTGAATTTCGTGGAAAAAATGTGGAAAACTTCATTAATGGCTTTGGTTTTTGCCACAGATAATTGCAATGTGGTACTCGAAACGGAGGCAAATACTTTGGTTCTGCTTGATAATCTATCCAAATCATTGCAGTGATTTACAGAGTGACAGAGACAGCGGCGCCGGCAGCGAAGGTCTGTGATGTGAGGTATACAAAAAGAATTTTCAGATCGCCGCTTGAAAATCACATAAAAGTTAGCCGAAGATGCCGGCCTTCTGCTCTTCCGCTATGACGAATATCTGTACTGCCAATTGCAGCACTCCAGGCACGGACCACTGCACTTGTGGTCTTTTCCGGTTCGTTGCACTTCTTCGCCGACGAAGCGTTAACTACGGCGGTGTGCCCCAACATTTTTTTTTTACAGTAAAACTCCCATATTTCAGGCCCCAAAAAACCAAGTATACAGTTTTTCTTGGAATTTCCTGAGAGTATACAAACTAAGTTTGAAGTTAATCAGATGAAAATTGTAGATTTTTCATACAAACGTTGGAGCCTGTTTTCCCCCCTTTGGAGCTCGAATTTTCCGAATTCCCTTCAATGAAAGGATACTTGAGTCAATTTTGAGCGTTGATCAACAATCAGTCAGTTAGGACAAACTGTTTTAGATATATAGATTACACTGTTAATATATTTGCAATAACTTAAATTAAATTCAAAAGGAGTTTAATCTTGTTTTACATTTCATATTAATTTAAAATTTATATGAATCTATTGGCAAGGTCGATAGCGTTTGAACTCCCTTCTCATTATGAATCCTTCTTTTATTCGCCGTTTTAGCAGCTTGCTCATTGAGGACGTCTTCAACTTTGGGTACTCCTAGGTCCTATTTCAAAGCAATGCATATTTTACAAAAGCAGAAGACATTCTTATTAATAATTAGATTAAGAAATTGGTTGATTCTCAGCAGAATTGAAAGGAATTGTTTGAAAACTACAAAGAAATAGTTTATTAAAAGTCTTACTTAACAGATAATAAAACAATACGCCATTTTCCTTTAAAGGCCTACACTTTTACAATTATTAAATGTGCCCCGGTAATTGTGCGTAGAACTTTATTTTGAAACCCTTGCAGCACTTTGATGTTACTGCGGCTGGTCGAACCCCACAGTTGAATTCCGTAGGTACGAATGGGTTTTAGCATCGCTTTGTAGAGTAGGCGCTTATTGTTCGAACTTAGCTTTCAAGCAGAATGCAATCTGCACGATAATTGTTCATTTGGTGTAAGGCTAATGGGTTGGGGGAGTCAGTAAATTTCTGAACATACTCAATTATTCAGTTTTTATACCCTGTACCCAAAGGGTACAAGGGTATATTAGTTTTGTGCGAGTGCACATGGAACACACAGAAGGAGGCTTGGTAGACCCCACAAAGTATATATATTCTTGATCAGCATGACAAGCCGAGTCGATATAGCCATGTCCGTCTGTCCGTCTGACCGTCTGTCCGTCTGTCTGTCTGTCTGTATGAACGCAAGGATCTCCGAAAGTATAAGAGCTAGAATAACCAAACTTGGTATACAGATTCTCCTGAGACCGAGAAAGGACGAGTTTGTTAATTTTTTCTGATCCACCCCCCCACTCCCCCCCTATTACCGATTTTCTATAACTCCCGTAATTCTTGGAATTTTGAAAAAAAATTTGAAAATTTGGTAGTCACATTAGGTTAGTAATTATATATCCGTATACCAAGTTTCATTATGATAGAATGATCGGAAAGAAAGTTATAGCCATATAACCAGGCCCAATGCACACATACATACATATGTACAAGTACACAAACACGCATAAGGCACGATTCTGATGTAAATGTAAATGTATCTATGCATGCGTGGAATATTTTATATTTAATTAGTTAATATTTAGTTAATTAATTAAATTAATTTAGTTAATTAATTTAATTAAATTAATTAATTAATTTAAATACTTTTTTGTGGGGTGGTACAGGGTATTTAAGAGTTGAGCCTGCTCGACTTTAGCATTCCTTTCTTGTTTATTAACTGAAAATGCATTCGAATGCTAGTTCCTTATTTCATGGCAAATGTCGTTGACACTCAATCTGGGAGATCAGTGCAGAGGAGAGAAGCCACAACTAGCGGCGAGTGGGAAATAAAACAATAAAATGGAGACACGGCAGTTGGGTGCGCTTTTGTCTGTGCAGCGGCTGGCGACACGACAACGCGGCTTATTTATGCATATTTATTTATTTATTGCCACTTTCTCACAGCATTGCCAGCCTGTAACTGTGGCCGTATCTGTGTTTTCTTATACAACGAGTATATGTATTTATAGTTTGCTTTTTATGCGCCTGTTCGGTTGTGCGAAATAAAACCATAAACAGCTGACAGACATACACACTCCCTTAACAACTGCAAGCTCAACTGTCGCCCACGGTGCGTATGGGTGATGTTTTGCGCGACACTGACGAACACAATGCCACTGATGTAGACGCAGACAAGGACATGGACACCGCCAGGACTGCTGTGATAGCTCATTTTGATTTGTGCCCGGCTCCCAACCCACCATGAACAGAAGCCGAACGAAAAGCAACTTACTCACAACTTTTTCTTGGTTTATGCGACACAGTTCGCAATCAAGACAAGTTCATGAAGTGATGCGATTCAGGGGTATGGGAAGCCGTTTATTGAAGAATATAAAATTCCACTCACAGACATGAAGTGTAGGATAGAGCATTTACTGTTCGACTTCACGAAGTTCAATTTACTTTATATTGAGTATAAATAGCTCCAACACAGAAGGTATGACCTTCACAAAAACTATAGTTCTTTGTCTGACAGCGATTGAAAATATTGAACAAATTTCTTCAACTTTGGAACTCAGTTGATGATGCAAAGAAATTAAAATAATTTCTCTCTACAAATCGAATTATCAAAGTATTTGTGCCTTTCCCAAAAATGAATGAAGCAAATTAAATACATTAAACTGAAAAACTGCAGTAACTGTAATATATTATGTACTATTTTAATTAAATTTTATTATTTGCCTATTTCTTTCTAAAGCACTAATTATATATAAGTTAACTGTAATGCAAACGAATCAGAAGAGTATATTTACAATCTACATATAAAGGAACTTTAAGTTTTAAGAATAAAGAAAACGATGGATATATACACATAGTCTTAATTTTGATTTGCTATACCTTTGGAGCCAATGTATTCCACACTTGGTTCTATGGGGGAACTCGATTATTCCAGGATCTCATATAATGAATTCATTTTTTGATTCGTCTCTAAAGACGAATGTTCTGCCAGAACAAAATTTTGGCACTTACTATATATAAGTTAACTGAAATGCAAACGAATCAGAAGAGCATATTTACAATTTATATATAAAAGAACTTTAAGTTTTAAGAATAAAGAAAGAAAACGATAAATATATATACACATACTCTTAATTTTGATTTGCTATATACCTCTGGAAACCATGAATTCCACACTTGGTTCTATAGGGGAATTCGATTATTTCCAAATCTCTCCAACTGCTTGGCATAAACCCAATTCTTAACCATACTTTTGTCTGCTCTCTATCTTATTTTAGCCGGCGTGCGCCTGGGCGAGAGTGCGAGCAGCAGTTCCATTGGCGCATCCAATGTGCCATGTCCACCGGAAATGTTTCGCTGCAACAACGGCAAGTGCATAACCTCGCATTGGGTGTGCAACTATCAAAAGGATTGTGACGATGGCGAGGATGAGATGCAGTCGTGTCGTAAGTAGATCCCCCGCCACCCTCCCGCAGATTCGTTAAAGCCAAACACTAACCGTCTCTAACGCTTTGTTGCCCAATACAGCGCCCCCCGAGTGCGAGACACCCCAGCTGAATTGCGGTCAATATGTCTTCAATAGGACGTACTGCATACAGCCGCACTATCGCTGTGATATGATTGACGACTGTGATGACAAGTCAGATGAGGCACAGTGCAGTAAGTACACATTATTATTGAATACCACATATCGAACACGTACATATACATACAAGTATGTTGATCCATTTAGTGGAGCACCCTGCCAAATGGCAGCAACATGGAGCACACTCCTGTATTCTCTGTTTAATCATTAAATCATGTTGCTAGATTGCGTTTGTAACAAACATATTCCATTTGTATTACGAGCAGCTTATTTTGGTTCATTAAGTAGGACAGCTGCCTGCCGCAGATAGAGACAGCTAAAGATAGAGAGAGGGAGAGGGAGAGCGAGAGAGAGTACTTATTATGCCTTCTTCATTTATTTATGCAATAATAATGCGAGTAGGTGGACAAGAAAAAGCTGACGACATACCTAGAGGATAAAATACAGAACGCCGCGTACATTACAATAAAATCTGAATCCGGGCAAATAATATTAATTAATTGTCTAAAATTAATTAGAAATAAAAGAACAAAAACAAAGAGTAGATCGAAAAATATATAATTAGTTTAGTAAACTGAATAACAAAGACTTCAATTATCTACATTATTGTAAATTGGAATTTATGCTAAATATTAATTTATAGCCAGTGTTTGTGTGCATTAATGAGCTTATATTTAATTTAGAAAAAAGTTTAAAAAATGGGGAATATTTAGGAATTGATTTATGATGAACTGGTGAAATTGTACACCATAAGAATAGATCTTCGGCGAAGGTGTTTTGTTTAGTATTTATATATATGCTATATGGTATATTATATACAAAACAAAATAACTAAAAAACCACAGTAATATATAGAAGTTAAATATGAAAAAAGACATTTTAGTTTGGGTAACAACAAATGAATAGAAAATGAAAACAAAAAATTATATAAATTGAATGGAAAAACAAATCTTAATAACAGCAATAGAAAAAGATATATAAATTCATTCTAACTATGTTTATTTATTTATTTTACTAATTTATTTTATCAACAAGCAAAGCTGTCGGTGTACAAAAAAAGAAATCAATACAATAGAGAACTTTGACTAAACTAAATTAAGAATAAATAAGTCCTATACAAATTACAATAATATCTAATAACAAATCCGACTCGATGGGGGGATTTTCTTTGCCGCACAGCACAGAGTAGTCAGAAAAGATGGAAATGAAGAAATAGCAATAAAATTTCAAAAACAAGTAAAATTAAATTTTAAAAATAATAATAAATTAAAATTAAAATACTTAAAGCTTACTTATGTTTTAACATTTAATGCATTCTTCATTTTCAAACAGTTAGTATTGGCTTTTGATGGCTGCTGCTTCCTTAAAAATCATTTATTTGCGGTTCTCTTATGCCAGTTGATTTGATTTTTTATTTGAGATTCGAGTGATTAGCTTTTGAAGGAAAAAGGTGATATTGAAAGTAAAATTCAATTAGGTTTTAAAATGTTCGATTCCCACTAAAGAAATGCAAATATTTTGCACCAACATTTATGCAAACATGTTTTTTTTATACTTCGGCAATGAGTTCTCTTTTTGGTGAGTATTAAATATTGCATTCAGGACATGCCTAAAAAAAAGGCGTTGTGCAAATGATTTTCCTGCCAGACATTAGTCGTTGTCAAAAGTTTAAGAAATCGATCATTTGCAACTGTCATTCCATTTCCCACACTTGCATTTTCAGTTACGAGATCGCTTTGTTTATATTATTTTGTCGATTGCGTTGGCGGGTGAATTGTAATTGATTTGCCAATAAAATCTGATACAGTGTTACGATTTCTGTGGCTGTCTGTCTATTCTGCATGCCCGTATAGTTTGTGTTTAGTTGCCATGCCATTTATTTATTGACAGCGATTTTTGGTATTTGTGTATGTGTGTGTGTGTGTGTTTGTGGGTGCTGTGCTGGTAGACTCTCTACCCGAAGCTATTTTAAGCGATCCCATTTAAACGAAATTAAAATATTTGGCACAAGTAACTATACCCAGTTCACTTGCAATTAATTGAAATAGACTGCATTGCCCCGGCACAAGTAGACTAGTCGGTGTGTGTGTGTGTGCTCAAGTATATATGCTATATAAACAAATGTCTGTCTGCCTGTCTGTGTGTGTGTGTGTGTGTGTGTATGTGCGTGCATTTGCTGCTTCTGGCTTGCTTCTCGCTTTCAATGCAAATTTGTTGACTCAACAAATATTTAACTCCATTTCGCAACGCTCTCACGCTCAGGCTCTCACTTCGGTTTGGTTTGGTTTGGTTCCGTTCGGTACAGTGTGGTACGATGGTGGTACGGTTGTGGTACGATGGTGGTACGGTGGCGGTTCAGTTTTTGTTCGTTTCGTTTGTGTGTGTGTGTGTGCACACCCAACAATTTGCTTTGCAAAATGTTTACATTTTATTATACCAATTTTATTTATGCAAATTTGACCAAATTCACACCGCCTGTGCTTCTGTTCATTCTTTTGAACAAATTCCGGAAGCCAAGTCAAGTGCGGTGCGGCGTGCGTGTTTAGACAAGGTGTGGCTTGAAGTCGAGTCGAGTCGAGTCGAGTCAAGGAAAGGAAAGTCAAGCCCGAGTCGACTGACGAGTCCAATTCAACCAACTGACACTGCAAATTGGTGGCAAGCAATCTGCTTGATGTTCGCTCATTTTCCAAAACTCCAAATCCTCCCTTTGTATGCTCAATTTTTCTGCGTGCTGCATGCCACAGGTTGTTGCCTCATAAATCTTTAAAGACTTCATTTGGTTCGGGCGGAATGAGCAGCTAATCAGTGAGTCTAACCGAATTAAATTGCCTTTACTTACTGCAATCTTTCAATTGTTTAAACAAAATTGCTGGGTTCCCTTAGAGCCCAGCATATATTTAATATTTATTTTAAGATTTCTTTCAATTATTATTCTACAGATTTCAAACAATCTTAAAAGCCACTTCTTCGCTCGAATAATGGCAAAATGTGCCCTTAAATGTGGATCAAAGGCGTTTAGTCCTACTTTCTAGGAAAGTGTTTTGTTAATATCAGGAGCCGCAAATAATGATTATTTAGATTTTTTTTAAGGGTTAAGAGTATTCCATTATCCTTCTATTAGTATTATTCATGAATATTCACCATAATTTAAAAATGCCAATTTTCATTCATTCTGTCACAATTATTAATTTTCATTATTTTTGGGCAAAATAAATAAAACTAATGATTCATTTTATTTATTTTTTTTTTAAATTAAACAATGTCCTTAAACAATGATAAAAAATTACTAAACAAAAAATATTAAAGTTTAAAAACGATGCTTACGATTGATCCAGTTGACATCAAGCTGGCTCATTGTTTACGGACATATATAAAATTTGTCTTATTCCCTACGAAAAAGGCAAAATGCAACTCTAAATTAATCATTACATTGTGAAAGAATGAATAAAATGAAAAATGAAATCATTATTTCGTAATTTGTTTAATAACACTTATAATAATTACGGTCCCCTTATTTATTCTGGTTATTATCCGCTTTCAGAATTTTCAATGACCAATTAACCAATATATTTGTGTCTATTTATGTTGGCTCCATCTTAAAGTTGCGCTATTGAGCTATTTCTAGGCAAACTCATAACTAACTTAAGATCTTAGTTTAATGAAATGCGAATGCGAAAGCAACAACAATTTGCTAAACAACAACTTGAAGTTGCATTGAAAACTTCCCTCTCTCTTGTAAGCAACTTCCCCATCAGTTATTTCAGCGTCTTCTTTTCGTCGCTGAAGAACTTTAAGGTTCGTAGCTTTTTGCCGGGTTTTCGTTTCAGTTGACTTTGTGGGGACGGTAGCAGACGAAGGAACTGATTGAATGCGGCTCACATTTTTGATTAAAAGTTTGGCATTTCCTTTGCCTTTGCCTGAGCGTCCGCGTCTGCGTCCGCGTCAGCATCAGCTTTAGTTTCATTTTCTTGTCCCGCCTTTTGCCATTTATTGCTTGTTGTTTAAGATTTATGCATGTCTGTCTGGCTGTAGATATTTAAATATCTGTCAGCGACCGATTTCTAAGTACTTTGCTGCCTTTTACAACTTTCCAGCGCTAAGCCCCAAGTCGTTTTGAGCAATGCTAGACAAACGTGCCCAACTTTGTCCTCGTCTTCATCGTCTACAGCGTCGTCGTCGTCGTCGTCTTCGTCGTTTTCGTTGGCAATTTGTCGGTAGAAGCAGCATTACTACCAACAACAACAATAACAACAACAATAACTACTAAGTACAGCAACAAATTGTTGCTGTCGTGGCTCCGCTTGTGTAAGATCAAGTTTAAATTTCATTTTAATTTAATAAGAAGCGGGAGTTGGGACAAGCATTGCATGCTTCAAGGGGCTTCCGCAATCCTTATCTCTCTTTCACTCCGACTCGTCCGACTGTCTGTCTAACTATCCATCTCGCTTCCTCAATAATTTATCGCACTTAAATGGCGGCAAAATGTTCGCTCTTATTGCGTTCTTAACAAATTTATTTTGTGTACGTGTCAACGCGTCTTCAAAGCCGTCCGAATCGTCGTTGACATAACGCCTGAAGCCGTGTCGTCTATGTGTGTGTGTGTGTGTGTGTGTGTGTGTGTGTAGAAGGACGTGTGTCTGTGTGTGTGTCTCTGTTTGTGAAAGAGTGCGTTTGTTTACTTAATTTATGGCATATAAATATTAGAGCAAGCTTATTTCAACTATTTAATTACTTAAGGTGTGTAGCGTCTCCCAGACTCCAACGCCCCACCCTCGAGCCCTCGAACTATCAAACCACTTTGCCTGTTAGCTTAATGTGTTCGCACACACACACACACACACACACACACACACACTTGTCTACTCTGTTAGCCCGACTAATAGTTTAACAACAGCAAGTAACCATTAGAAAGACGGTCACTTAATGCGTTGAGGTCAGAGAGGGTTGCCTGCCATATCGACAGGCCACCCCCACTCCCTCCACGTCCCCCACCATCCACTCCTGCACCCAAGCTGCTCACGTTCTGTGTTAGTTAAGCTGAAAAGTCGTGTCGTAAAACATGGCAATGAGTGTT